TTGGTGAACGGAGACCAAACAATAGACAACGAAATCCAAGGACTACTCCGGCAAAGCTTATTTATCACAGTACGCCGATCTATTGTGAGAAGAGTAGATTAGCTGCTAATCCATATTTGCTCCGATGCTTGGAAAAAGAAGAGAAAGAACGTGTTGAGAATTCCTATCTTCATCATGGCCCACCAATTGCTAACACTTCGTTTGAATGCTCTACAATCATGTGTGGCAATTGGAGTTATGTTGAAGAGGATTTGGTATTCATGCCGGAGTTGATATGGCAAAGTAGGATCATCGTTCATTTCAAGGAGAGAGCCATGATATTGGTTCTAGACAACGGATCAAGGATGGTAATTCGGTATGATACAATTGAACTTCTCACCACCGATGACGGCCATTACCCAGGAATTACTGCGACACTTCATCAATCTCCTCATTTTTTCAGATCCCCTCCAAAAAACGATTTCCTTGAGATGACCAATATGTTTAGTAATATAACCCTCAGAAACGGCAGCAGGCCTCACACAAAAATCTCTCGAGTCGCTGGTTTTGGCGATAAGCACAAGGAGATTGCGGGTAGCTCTCTTGTGTATCGCTGTACATTCAAAGATACAAACGGCTTCTCGTTGACTATCGAGCAAAAGCTGGAGGCATTGAAGAATGCTCGAGGCATTCCCCCAATGATTCATCATTCTGCTTCAATCATTCCTCCTGGAGAATCTCATATTATCGGACTCAGAGAACTTCATGAAGCTTTAGAGAGTTTCAATAACGAACTACCATTTCCATTGACATTTCAAGTCCAAAAGCTAGCCCAAAACGGATATCTATCTCCTCGTCAAATAATCGATCTTCTACCGGCCTTCAATTCAATGTTTGAAAGAACTACTCTTCCGATTTGCGTCACGGCCATGAGGAGACTGTTTTTGCAGATCCCGTACCCTGGACCCAACGTCAAAGCGGAAGATTTTGACCAGAACGCCATCATTGAACTACTTTTGGATATTGAGAAGACTTCGACTCAAGAGGCTCTGTATGCTGAAGGATTCGGGGGTACAGCCTCTCAAAATACCGCTTTGATTCATCGAGTTACCATTACTCCTGCCGGGATGTATCTAGATGGGCCTGAGTCTGAGAGTAACAATCGCATACTCCGTAAATATGCAGGTAAGCCTCTTTATGCTTTTGTCCTATCCTTTTTCTCCTATTTGAGTTAAATGCTCCCACTTTCGGATACAAAAATATTATTCTAGCGTACTTATGACTGATTTTCCATCACTAGGTAGCCATAGTAACTTTGTGCGTGTGACATTCTGCGATGAAGATGGTGGAAGAATTCAATATGCATCAAGTGTCTCTAACGACGAGATTTTTGACGGAGTTTTCAACAAAGTTCTGCAAAATGGTTTCTCGATTGGAAAACAGAAATATGAGTATCTAGGCTCTTCACATTCTTCTCTTCGTACACAATCTTGTTGGTTTGTGGCACCTTTCACACAAAACAATATAAATTATGATGCCCGGCGTATTATCGACGACTTGGGCCGGTTTGGAGATATTCGCTCTCCGGCTAAATGTGCGGCACGAATCGGACAGGCGTTCTCTGATACACCAAACACTCTCACTCTTGATGAAACTGTCACAATAGAAACAGTTGCTGACGTCGAGCGAAATGGTAGAGTCTTCAGTGATGGAGTGGGTACAATGTCGGAGTTATTGATGCACAAGATATGGGAGAAACTACCTAGCAAACACCCTGTGAAGCCGACTTGTTTCCAAATTCGGTATCAAGGTTAGTTCGAACATCGTTTGAGTCTATGATATATTTGTCGTTCTTGAACTAAGCTTACCAACCATGACAGGTGCCAAAGGGATGATTTCTTTGGATAGTCGTTTACCAGGCGTCCAATTACGCCTCCGAGATTCCATGATAAAGTTCGAAGGATCGAGCTCGAATGATCTTGAAATATGCGGCGGGGCCTATAAACCCCTCCCTATGTATCTTAATCGACAATTCATTAAAATCCTGGAAGACTTGGGAGTGGAGCCCGAATACTTTGTGAGACTCCAAGCAAAGGAGGTCTCAAGATTGAGAGCAATTACAGCCAATGCATACAATGCATCGACATTCCTTCAAAGTAAAAGAGTTGGAGATGTTGTTCTTCTCCCACACCTTATTGACCACTGTTCTGCTTTAGATTTGGATTTCAGAAATGATTTGTTTTTACGGGATGTCCTCGAAATGACAGTCTTGATTGAGCTTCGCACTTTGAAGCACAAGGCCAGAATACCTGTCGAGAAGGGCTATCATCTACATGGCATTATGGACGAGACCGGGATTTTGAAGGAAGGCGAAATTTATTGTTGTTGGCTTGAGGATGGAAAGCGTACCACTCTAGTCGGATCAAACATTGTTATCACTCGTGCTCCTGCGCTTCACCCTGGAGACATTCAATTGGCGAATGCCGTGGATGTTCCAAGCGATTCTCCGTTGAAAAGACTTTATAACTGCGTTTGCTTCAGTCAGAAAGGTCCTCGGGATCTACCAAGTCAGTTATCGGGTGGAGACTTAGATGGAGATCTCTATTATGTCTTGTTTGACCCAGACTTGAAACTAAAGAGGACTGTGACACCGGCGGACTACCCACGACTGCCACCTCTCGACATCGGCCGTACGGTTAAACAACAAGACATGGCAGAATTTTTCCTGACTTTCATGAAAACAGACCAACTGGGTGTTATATCCAATAGACATCAAGTGTATGCAGACCAGAACGTGATGGGAACCGAGTGTTTCGATTGCCTTAAATTGGCGGAGCTTTGCTCGACTGCAGTTGACTATTCCAAGACAGGTATAGCGGTATGATATTCTTGCATGATATTCATATGCATTTTACTAACTTTTGAAACCTTCTAGCCTATTCTTGATCACCCAGGTGTACCCAGGAGTAGTCTCTGGCGTCCTGACTTCATGGCTCCAGGCCCTCATATTAAAATATCACATCGACCTGATGATCGTCTGGAATTCGCGAAGGAGTATGTTCCAATTGAGGCAATGGACGAAGAGGACGAAGTCACGAATATCAAGTACTATGAAAGTAAAAAAGTTTGTGGGAAGCTTTACCGTGCAATTGATGAGCGAAAAGTCTTTGAGGATATTCAAAAGCTGAACGTTCAAGCTAATGATAGTCCTGATATCATGCAGCACATGTGGGAATTCGTTAAATCTCGTTCCCAGGGAATTCAATGGCAACATTTGCGCGAAGATGCCCTCGAAATTCAGGAAATGTAAGTTTTCACAATGTGTTGAACAGTCCAGACTGTAGTCCGACAGTGAGAAGCTTTAATTTTTGGATTCGTTTAGAGCAATGAAGCAATTCGGAAACTCGAATTAGTTTCGAGTATCGAATTACCTACGAAAATTAAAGCCTTATATCCAGTCCGTCAGTCTCGACTATTCAACAACTCATCTTTTCATGTCTCCCCTTTATTTTCTATGACTATTCCAACTAACTTAATTACAGTTATGAAAACAACATGCTAGATATAATGCATCAGTACAGTGAACATCCAACTCGCCCCATCAGCGAGCGCGAGGTATTCGTGGGTAACATTCTCGGAAAAGTTGGATCTGTAAGCAAAAAGCAAAGAGAGCTATGCACCAGCATGAAAGAGAAATATGACGAAATCGCGGCATTCATTGTTAATTGCATCATCAAGGTCAATGATGAGTACTCGGATGAGGCGCTTGAGCGCAGCATTGCTTGCTTCGCAGTTTCTTTAGATGATAGGAAGCGAAAAAGCGCTCGAGACCAACCTCTGAAGAGCTTCAGATATTTAGCTGCGGGCGTGTGCTTCAGGGAAATGGAGCGGGCACCTGGTCTTCTTCCGAATAGTTGGCAGGGATAGAAACTGGTGATTGATTGTTCGTGAGAACTCGATATAGTGTTTTTTCTTCATCAAGGATAAGCTATTATGGCATCAAACTTGACGGAGATGAGGGAATGGATGGAACTACGGGCTTTTTATGAATGGAGTGGTGGAGCTTGATGTGTTTCTAATGATTTGATGTTTCACGGTTTCATTTTCTCTCAAAACGGGTTCTGCTTAAATTTCCCTGGTCTCTTATTTCATGGCAAACTTTAGCTAGAAAGAGGTTCACAATTACTCAGAAAGGAAATCTATGCATCATATCAATATCTCGAGTGACTTACAAACGATTTGGCTGCAGGCTGGATAGTGTAGTCAATAGTCCGGACTACAGTCCAACACCCAAGGACGTGTAATATCCAAAGCCTCTTGAATATTTAAACTAATCTCGGATATCGAAATGCATACGGTTTTCGCATTGATTTGTAACAACAGAGCAATTCAAATACCCAGAAAATGGTGTGTTCTCAAGCTCTCGAGATTGAAAACTTAGATCAGAATTTTTCGGATTATGACAAACATTGACATGGCAGTATACTTTACGAATAGACGGAATTCAAAATGATGGAAATTAAAACAAAACGTAACGATTACCCCCCTTCCCCAGGTTTGTACACAAGATTGATGTTTAGGAGTATCAAGGTTTTCCATTCTTCTCATCTGTAGTACTAGTTCCTAGAGTAGCAAAATGCTTCATATTTCTCTCTCTTTTCGATTTTAATTAGAACTACTGGCTGATTTTAAAATTGAAATTGCTGGAATGGATTTGGTAGAGAAGTCGTAAGGATGGTGTATACATCCTACATTTTTCCATACCCACCCATTTGGCCTTCCGATTTCCTTTGCCCTTGATATATTCTATACTGCGTCCTCAAAGGCTCGTTGATATATTGTGTACTGGTGATTCGTTGACGTGAGTACTGATGTAGTGTGCTTGCCACAAAGGATATGTGACTAGCCATTTCGGCTCACAGTAATTATTTCGTGGTAGGAAATCCAATGAAAAAGCCCAACACGACTCTTAAATTCCATTCAGAAGAGTGCTAGTCCTTAAGCATGCCACGAACTTCACACTAAGAAGACATATCTAATGCTTTAAACGCAGCATACGTCTGAGCGACACTCACAAAAAAAGATGCCAGAGCGAGAAAGACAGTCAACAATCCAAAGATTATAACACCCATAAACGTATAATAATTAAGCGCATCCCTAGAATCTCGCAGCAATTGTCGCAAGCCGTGTGGTTTTTGATGATCCATATACTGTCTCAGATCTCTCACACGGTCTTCAAACATGCCGAAATTGGAGTAGGCAATGTTACTTTTGTCTTGTTTTGATTTAATGATTCCTTGGAGGTTTTCCCATCGTGACTCGTAGTATGATTGCACTCTGCCGGTCGCTGAATCGTCTTCTATCCATGGCATATGGTATTCTTTGAGGGTTTGAATATCTGTTTGCATTGGATTTCGGTCTTCGTCAACAATGGTCTCGTACTCTTGCTTAAGCTTTTCCCTAACCTGTGATTTGTTCTTGGAATTCTCGCCTAGAGTTGTGATTGAGAAGAGAATGGCCCATGTCTTTTCAATATCGGCTTTTAGCTCTTTCAAGACTGAAAGCTCTCGCGGTTCTCGGTATATGCTAGACCAACGGACACTTTCAAACCATTAGTGCGATGCCGAACAATGAAAGAGAATGCAACTAACCAATCGTTCTGAAAAATACTTAGCATCCCCCAGACGAATGGTCGTAGTCGTGCAATTTTCAAACATTTATCTTGATGATTCAGGAGGAGGTGTTCCTCGAAAATATCGGTCCAGACTATTCGAAGATCTCCGATTGTTTGCAAGGACCCAATGTTCAGATCATCAATACGTCCAGAGTTTGCGGTTGGTCTTTCCAACGGCACTGGATTATCCGAAGATTTCGATACAGATAGGATTGATACCACGAGTTCCGGTCCCTGAAAAGCAAGAATTTGTTCTAAGTTAGCACCCCCGCAAGCTTCTCTCAATAGATCCGTAGGGGACCATAATATCTGGCGGCTATTGAGACCCAGGTCCGAATTATCTTCCATCAAGCAATCATTAAATATATTCAGTGATATTGCAACAAGAATTATATGAAAGCCATAGTCTTGCCTTATTTCTTTTTGGGAATGAATGTTATTTGGATTCGAGGGATATCCTCGGGTTGGCGTAATACTCCACTCGTGTAGCAACGCTCAAGAATAGCCCCAATTGTCGAAGTAGCGGAATATCTCCTTTCAATCGACGACTTGATGATGCAAATTAAGATCTTTATCAGAATTGCTGCTCGAGCGTCTGGATCATCAGTCCCAAATTCGAGCAACCAGGGTATCATTTCTTTGTCGCACTCATTAAGTATCCTTTTCCAAAACCATCCTCTTCGCACCACTTCTGTAGAAGTTACAGATCTTTGCCCATATCCAAAGAAGTTCCTGAAGTGCTCTTCCCAAATGGCCTCAAAATGTACACGGTTGAATCTATCAAAAGGTTGCCCGAGATGATCCAGATGAATCACCTGATCACGGTTCACTTCAACCCTACAAATTGGCCAAGGGTTCGCGCAAGCCCGAGTTAAGAATTGATGTAGATACTTTGGAGGATTCATCAGACGTGAAGCTTCCGTTCGTGCTTCTGAGAATTATTCATTAGCACTTGCTTTCAACTCAATTTAAGAGTGGGATTTCGAACGATAAGAGTGAGGCACAGGAAAGCCTTCCAAAGCCGGAGCTGCGTCATACTCTAGGTCAATTTCGCGAATGTTCGTTTTCCTCCTGCTTTCTTTCAGTACCTGGATTCCAAATTCTACCAGCTGCTGTAGCTTTGCGATAGGAACCGTGACCAGCTCTTCATCTTCATGTTTGGACATGTCTGTCGTATCACGTGTGGCTGGCGAGTTCCCATCAATCTGATGGCTGGAACCTGTGGCAGGTAATCCATACATCGTGCTTCGGTCATCTAGAGTAATCATTAGTTTTTATCACAAGAAGGCATCGTCGGCAACATGCCTACCCATGTCTCAATCAATTGGCGAGATCCGCAATTAACAATACCGTTGTGTACATCAGATCGAGCTGCAGAACTATCATAACCATCTCGAGAAAACATTGTCTGAGTTAATCCATCTTCTATCTCATCGTTTTCGACATCTGTCCTTCTGAGATAAGATTGAGCTTGCGTAACTTCCCGATTTTCATCACTTGGAAAATTCCGCTTTGTAACGTTGTACGGCTCGTCCAACATTGTGAGGAAATCAGCCACCTTGAAGTTTGAAGAAAATCTAGATGACCGTTGACATATAACAGGTAAATGGAAGCAAGCTTTCAGCTGCACAACAATTTGGGCTCAGGCGGATACCCATGTATCCCGATGTAAGCTTCCATTGCATCCCAGGCCAATAAAATCCTTGAATCCTTTCGATACCTCATAATAATTATTCAATCAAGACCCTACCCTTGTCGTAATTCACGACTTTACTCACGCACCATGATCGTCAGTGATTTGATTCAAATAGTATAATCCGAGAGCAGCATGAACAATAGAGCTGAGGATTAGAGACTGTCTTGTTTGAAAATCCATTCTCAAGCAATTTGAAGATTTTGTGAAAAAAGCTCACTTAAGAATGATTCTATGATTCCAAACCAGTCCTCCAAATAGTACCAGAACGATAACTTGGAGCTCACACACGTGTGTTTGGACCCCTATGCGCCCATTCCTTACGTTCAATCGGCTAACCGGAAATGCCAGACTAACCCCTTACTAGTTTCCGGGTAACCTCTCACTATTTTCCTTCTCCACGTTATCTAGACCGTGACAACCGCTGTGATATATCAACACGTGATCTTGAATTACTTCATATCAAACCCAGATCACACAACTCCAGTGGAACACATGTGCTTTGATTCCATCGCGTGGGAGAGACAGGAAGAGAACTTCAAGATATGTCTAGGGCAGCTGGTGAAAGGAGAATCAGAAAAATTAGCCTTTCAACCAGCAAGAAAGCTTCAACCAGGACATAAAGTTGGCACCGGACTTTGGATGAATGGCGCCTACAATGTGTGCTAAAGCTGGGATACAAGGCGTGGATTTCCAGATTGTGGTTCGATTCTCAGCACTTGGCAAGACTGTATATATCGCAGAAAAGTCGAAAACGAAGCAGTCGTTATTCAGTGCTTGAAAAACACACCAAAGTTCCAGTACCCCCGTCTCACGAGTACTCGGATAGCAAATATTCTGGATAGGGTCATATACTGTCGAGGAATGTATAGAAAGAAGGCAATCTGGTCTCAAATGTTTTGAAGAGTCCTACCAAGAGAGGAAGCATACAATCAATTTTATAGCTCGCTATACACCTCAGCTTCGACTCTCCCTCTCAGCGTCAAGAGAATATGAAGATGAACAGATGAAAAGTGGGAAATCCTTGATTCTCAAACATCATCTAACCTTATGGAATAATCTATGCATAATGGGTTGTTTTGGGTATGTTTTATGGTAAGAAACACTCAAGTATTTGATGAAATATACTGGGTCTTCCTTGATAAAAAAAACAATTGGATCTGGCTTGCTTGAAGATAGATTTAAACTCCTGAATGAAAAGAAAAAGGATAAGCTTAGAACACCTTTTGACCTCAAGCAGGAGCAGGTCAAGGGTAGAATACTAGATTCTCATTGCCCTGCGAGGAGTCTCATGAAGCTCTAACAATATCTCGATGGGCCCAGTGAGTCTCATCTCGTCATTCTTATATTTGAATTCTGCATATTGGTATTTCTTCACTCTGGCCGCTTTGTATGTTATTATTTCTCTCCTACCTGAGCACAAAAACAATCCATGGCTATACCATCTGCATTTATTACGTTAAGAAGTTTGAAGTTAATACCATTCCACATTCACAATAATTACAATGTTTCAGTCACAACTCTCTACGGGTTCCTTTGTTTCGCAATACAGTCAAGACGCTGTGTTGGAACTATCTGTATATGCATTTTCATCTTCGACCAGCACTATGTATGACTTTGGTCTTGTTTCATATGAGAGTGACCTGGTCTCGTATAATTATGTAAATACACGCGCCGTGGTTACGTTCACTCAACAAACGGCCGACACACAAAAGTTCGCAATCCGTGCGCATCTATCATGATCAGGCTTCAGAGTCATATGCGCTGTGTTCTGAAAGAAAGTACATGTGAATATTGCTTTTATTGGTAGGAAACTTACACGCCTAACTCACCCTAAGATAGCGACAAGATGCGACACAGTACCGAATAAAAGTGGTACAGCAGGCAAGCGAAGAGAATTCTTGCGCTCTCAAAGCTGACGATGCAGTAAAAGTCATAATTCAATATGCAGGGCGTCAGAACAGCAGACAATCTCTCGCGGTAGAAGGAAATACTTCCAGCAGCACCTTCAATGAACTCATTCTTCGATCTGGACCTCAAAATACTAAGTTCAAATCCAAAGAAAAGCCAAGTTTGTCATTCTCACAAACTCGGCCTCTATTCCTATAAACTTCGCGATCCACTCTAAAACACCAATTCACCTTACCTTCACGCACCCCTTCCACCCCATCCACTCCCACCTCACCAACCCCCCAATCAAACCCCTCCCTCGCCAGAAAAAATCCCCACTCCATCCACTCCATTCACTCACTCACATCCCCAAATCCACCCTCAAAAACAACAGAACAAAACTTCAGCCGCGACGGCTTACAGTCCCAGTCTACATGTACGGTCAAGACAGTCCGAAACTGCCTTGCGAAACCGCACTCTATGCACTGTCCGATCGAAGTACCACAATGCGGAAGAAAGGCGATATCTCAAACTGCGGGGAGTGAGAAATTCTAACCGCTGCGCCACGAGGCGTGTGGAATGCTTATGTTGGGATGTCGGGATTGGGGGTATATAAAGGTGAGGAGAGGGGAGGGTGAGGTATGGTGGTATTTGAGTTGGGAGGTATGAATGGGTGATGATGGTGTAGAGGTTGGGGTGTGAAGAGACTATGTTGTGTGCGTCGTTTGGTAATTGTTCATAGGTATCTGGGTAGTCATATAAATAGGCACACTCATTACTCTACAGTTTTTTTGTCCATGTGTACTTGTCGCTGACTACACTCAAGTGTTCAATCTCTTGAATTGTCCATCTACATCGAACTACTTTTACATGAGCGCAGCTTTTTCCTAAATTCATTTGATCACTCATCTAGCATTTCTTTCGCTACTTCTTTCCACTGGAAGAGTTGTCTTCCGCACAACCTCGCATACATTAAATTTGGGAAACAGAATCGTTGCAGGGTGTTAAATTATTAGCTCTGCCCAAGGAATACTGAGCAAGTTCCACATCCTTCTCAGCCAAGGGTTTCTTTTACAGCGCTCACTCATCAAATATCGGACACTTCATAATATTTGGTGGTGTTATAATGATTATTAGGGTTATTAAGCTATCTGCTAGCAGTTGTAGTTCGAATCTTTCAGAGAAGAGTTGGCTCGAAATCTATGCGCATATGGAGAGCTTCGTCATGAGAGTAACTATAGCAAGACAAAATCTTCCAATCTGTATCTCCTTCTTCCCAGCGATGCATCTCCCACCCCAATTTCAATGCTAGTATAAATGAGCAGAGTCGATGAATCAAGCAATAATAACAACTGATGTTTCACCTCCAGAAACCAGTCGCCTTCAATGCAACTGATGTAACGGATGCGATAACAGCTCGTACCATTAGCAGTGCGCCTAGGAAACAACTGATTCATTCGCCAATTTCAAATCAAACCTCTTGAAGCATCGAGTCTTCTTCTCATAGCTAGGACCTCTTTGCATACCATATCGACCCACGCATCAAACCTACTTTCCATTAGTATGCCGACCAAGGCTTCAAATTGACTCCGTCAAAGTGTAAGAAACATACTCAGAAATCCCATCTCCCCAATCAACTTTCTCATAAACCCCTTTTTCTTCTTCTTCCTTAGCCGTCAAACCTGGTCCTCTCCCAACCTTTCTATCTGCCCTCTCTGTCGCCCCAACTCCCATAAATAAAGCCCGCGGTGTAATTCCCACACATCTAGCTACGAATTCTCTAAAATTCTGATCTGGCTCTATTGCTTCCATTGCACTAACACCACTCCTCAGGTTATTATTTCTAGATTCAGTTGTGCCAGATCCAGTTGTGCCACTTTCCATTCGACATTTTCCAGATGTTTGGTATTCAGGATTGATTTTGGTATTGGAAGATGAAAATGGATTGATGTTTGGGCTGGGAGAAAGGGGAGCAAGACTTCTGGCAGGACGTCCTTCCATACGAAGATAGAATTCCTCGCGGGAAATATCGCGGCCCATGGCTCGTACGGTTTGAGAGTGGAGACGGGAGAGGATGTCGAGATCGCAGGCATGAGGACCAATGGCGCAGAAAGTTGTTGGATCTTGTGCATTTGGTTAGAATGAAGCTCTGTTCCACGATAAAGTCTTACGGGGTATATGTAGAGAATGGTGCTAGTATTTACTTACGGATATTTGGTGGAAGAACTGGAGAAGGAGCTTCAGGTATTTGGGGTATTTTTGGAGAAAAAGTATAAGAACTAGCACGACTTCCATTTCGTTTCTCGGAATTGAAAGACATGGTTTCTGATTGCCGGGAATGAGTGTCATATGAGAAACAGGATCTCTGGAGAGAATCTTTTGTTTCGAATCTATCTTTCTCTTCGAACCTATCGAATACAGCTGATGTTGAGTAAAGAAAAATAGCAGTTTATATTGATGGAAAAAAACCGATATGGAAAGCGAACGAATTAAAAGATCTATAGAAGTTAAGGCCCAAATGGACAGATTGAGTGATCGTTTATTCACTTTGTGTTTGTGTGCCGATGAAGGTGAAGGTGAATGGAAAGTTAAGCAAACATCGAATCAGCAGGTAATGTATAGAGAAAAGTCATTGTGTGGCATGAGCACTCCAAACATCGTGAGACCAAGCTAAGTAGGTAGTTCTTAGCTTTTATTTCCATTATTTAGGGCGAGAACTAGTTCCTACCATTGGAGGTAATAACGAAAAACTACAATCGGGAAAGAACATCCAGACGAGAGGGAAGTTACTCACGTGTTTCTCGACCTTTATACCCTTTCAAAAAAGCCAAGTGTCTTCACAAAAAAACTCTCTGTCGTCTGAGAGAGAGACTAAAGATCTCTCTCGCCAGTCTACAATATCTTGAGGCAACATGGGATATTGAATGAGAGACTTGCAAAAAAATCATCACTTTTTA